TTTATATTTGTTTTTGTTTTTTACATGATAAAATTAGACCAGAACTGGCAATGAAAATTGCTGGGAGATGGAGTCATTCTCAAATAGTTTATCTTAAAGCAATATTACTGTTATTGTTGTTTTTAAATAACGACAACGTTAAGCTGGCTGTGTACATAAATGAAATTTGGGAAAGAAATTTGAGACCAAATTGGGGTACCCACTACAAACTGAATGTGCTCTCTCTCCCTTCAAAAACAAAATGTTGGCAGGCACTATCATCTCCATGAAACCATCCCATGTGGCTGGGACCCCATTTGGGAACAGAAGTTTTTCTTTGTTATGTTAATGCCACCACACAGGTTTGGGTGTGATTAAATCCAACACTTTGGAGAATAAAGAAATGCAGCACAGGTGAAAGTGAAATCATTCTCCAAAGACAAGGGTCACCCCTCCCCACAAGTCAATAGAGCAAGGCTTCCCCTAGATGGCGCTCTGCATTTGGACTTCCAGTCTCCTCAGTGAGGCGTCTGTGCAGTTTCTCTTGTCACAGCACTGACTGAGAGGCTAGGACACTAACGTTCCTTACTAGATGTGTTCTGAAAGGCGGCAGGTTACCTGGACGTTGGCAAAGTCGACACGGTTGAGGTCGTTGAGCATCTGGTTGATTTGAGACGTGTTCTGGAGCACTGCTCGCGCTGCCTGGGCCAGGTGATTGAGAGACGTGTATCTTCGCAGGGTCTGGGCAAAGGCACTTACAGCGGCAACCTGTAAGGGGGTCCAGGGACAGTGGGTGGGCCTCTCCTTCCACGGGGCTCAAGTCTAAGTGTTCCCTCTGACACTGTTTGGTAACGGTGCCCCCTTGTACATTACAGCGCTGAAATCCCTAAACCAAGCGTTGTTTTCCTCTTGGAGGAGAATGACGTCAGGACCAAAACAAACACCCACGTCCTTAGCAATCCGAGTGGAGCATTAATTAAACCCATCTCACAAGTAACCTTACTCACCCACAGCCAGGAGACAATGTTGGGAAGTAGGAAAAAACGTTGGGTTTTTTTCTTTTACACCAACTACGGATTGATAAATGTATTTACTTGGAAAGACAAACTATATAGCTTCCACTTTTTAAATTGGATAAAAAGTGGACTTTTCAGGGCATGGCTGTACAGACTCACTGTTCCCTTTATTTTGGAGAAATGGGCAATTTTGAGGTGGAACAAGAGAGGGCATCACTTTTATTAGCAAACGTATATACTAATCTATTTATCAGAGACAAGCAACTTGAAGCGCTTTTTCGAAATGTGAATTCCTGCAAAAGGGCCATCAAGGAGTCTCCGTTCAATCCTCAAGATTTGCTTCCATCCCTCTCCAGCCTGTGCCCAACAACGCTGACTTGAACGGCCAGCATTAACCACCTCCTTTCCCCCTGGCTTTCAGCTGAGTTTGGGTAATGAAAGGCCCTGGCAGAGATCAGAGGATGCGAAGAAACAGTGGCCAGAACATTTATTCCCCCACGACCTCAGGTCCCTCACTGTTCTGGCAGAACCTGCTCCCCTTCCACAGTTCTGATTGAGGGAGCGAGGTTCCTGCAGTGGTTGCTTAGGACTTCCTGTTGTTAACAGTCTTGGTTTGAACTCTGTTCAGACCTTGGAAAACAGACCTTTCTTCAGCTCTCTTCAATAATCCCCTTTTGGACACACTATTTGTTTCCTGCTGGGACCCCAAATGACCCAGCTTGTGTTGAAAGATGGTAAGGATAACAGAGAAGGGGAAAAAAGAATAAAAGACCAGGCAAATATGGAAATCTCTTGATCTCAAGAGAACTTGCAATATGCACAGTAGCGCCATTGGTTTTAATATACTCACACGAACATACAGGATTGCTTTGAGTCGCTGCAGGTATTTACGCAGCGAGTGACTGATACAAACAATGCTTTGGCTTAAGGAGCATTGTGTTCCTTTAAAAGAACCACAGGATCAGCACTGGACTGCAGACTACACCAGCCACTCCGTGAGAGAAAGATAAGGTTTTCTGCTCTGGCAAAGATTTAAAATGCCTCAGGAAATCCTCTGCAGGGTCCCTATGAGTTGGAACCGACTTGTCGATGCTTAACAACAACAACATTTATATGGGATCACATTGACAAGTGTGACTCTACAGATTAGACATGAAATTTCGGGGGCAGTTAGTTTATGTTCAGTGGGGAGGGACAAGTTGGAAGGGAGGAAGGTGAGAAGGGTCGCACATCCTGGAGAATGCCATCCATCGCAGTCAAGTGTACAGGTCAAGAGGGTTGACCTGGTGACGGTGTTGCTGTACTGTTTTCAGCCATGACAACAAACCAGCGAAGCAAGTGACTGATGAAGCAGCTGGCAAAGCAGCAGAGGGGGTATGTGGAGGCTGGGGGAAAGCTCACACCCCCTCACTGAAGGAGGGTCTTGTACTTTATTCTACATTGCGGTACATGTTAATTGAGCAGCTACTAAGGGCCAGGTGCTGATTGGTACCTTAATTGGTTGGTACATATACGATCTTGTCCAAGTCTGTGAACAACTCTATTAGACACACACTGGGATTTAGAGGAATTAAGCAGCGTGGCAGTGGAGGTATGCGAATTCAGGCATTCAGATCTGACAGCCCCCATCTGAAGCTGGCCCCACTGCTGGCTCTGCCAGTGTCTGAAGGCTTCGCTGACTGAGTGCTCAGCTGTACCTCAGAGGAAGAGGAGGCCAGAAGGCACCCTCCACCAATGTGAAGCAACAGAGCAACTCAGGCTGCAGTGTGAACCCCTCCACTTTGAAGACACTGGGCAGGAGGTGCTTCCAGCCAGCCAAAGGCTTTGTGTGACTGTCATCAGCAGAGAACATCTCCCCTCTGTGAGCTCCCATCAATCTGGTACGCCAGCACCGGCCTTCCAAACAGAACACCCCGTGATGATGGGAACATGCTGCCCACTGCGGTGGCCAGGAGCCACACAGGGCTGTACATAAAACCCAATGCCATCCAGTCGGTTCTGACTCATAGCGACCCTGTATGGGGTTTCCAAGGAGCGGCTGGTGGGCTTGAACTGCCAACCTTGTGGCTAGCAGTCTAGTGCTATTCCTACAGTACCACAACAGGACTCTGCATTAACCATAGTTGTTAAGTCCTGTTGAGTTGGTTCCGACTCATAGCTACCCTGTACAGGGTTTCCGAGGAGCAGCTGGTGGTTTGAAATTGCGGACTTTGCAGTTCACAGTCCAGTGTTGATCCTACAGCACCATATCAGGAGCCCAAAGTTTAAAAATACCCAGAACTCTCCCAATGGTAGTAACTGTTTGAATCTTCTAGGCTGTTCTCAGTGTTGTTAAGTGTCCTTGAGTTGATTCCAACACATAGCAACCCTGTCTAGGGTTTCTGAGGTACACTCATGGATTTGAACCATCAACCTTGTGGTTAGCAGTCCAGTGCTTATCCTGCAGTGCTACACCAGGCTGTTCTTAGACATCTGAAATATGTATTACAGAAGGAATCTCAGAGACACACCACACTCACAATGCTTTTCTAGTTAAAAGCAGCACACAGTTCTACTGATAGTTTTCTTTAGATAGATCTATCAGTTTTTAAAGATTCTATAAATTATAATAACAGTGCTTTACAGGGAGGATATGAAGTTCATAGTTCAGAAAAACTTGCTAAACACAAGAGAAAAGGCAGAGGCATGAAGTGGTACCTTGGTTTGTATCATTCTCTGTGGAATATTGTTCATGGCATTGGAGAGCCAACCTTCAAGGCTTTTTGCAAAATTTCGAATGGCTTGGGTCAAGGCACCTAGATGTTAAAGAACAGAAACAGAATGAAAAAAAGCCGCAAAGAAATTCATCTTTATGCTAGAATAAGGGAAAACACATGTGTATGACATCGGAAACAGCATTGAACTTTCATGACACAGATGGAGCAAACCTGATTTAACATGATTCCTAATTTTAAAGCCATATAAAGAATTCTACTTGGGGGGCTTTTTTTCTTTTTGAAGCTCTTTTATTTCCAGATACTTATTCACAATTGTTGGGCTATGAAAACACTCTAGCAACATATACCAGTTGTGAATATACTAATGGATGATTTATAGGATTTTTGTATCTTAGGCAGAACACGCATTCCATTAACTGTTTTGTGCTCAAAGACTTAAGCATTTTCCTTGTCAAATTGCTCCTCTTGATATTTTCTAGGTTCCTAACCTATTTTCATGTCTTTAGCTAAACAGAAAAAGTCATGAAAGCTTTCTCTTTCTCTAGACATCTATCCACAATAGGGCAGAAGTTGGAGTAGTTATCCACCAAAAAAAGCCACCTCCAAATTACATATATATATATATATATATATATATATATATATATATATATATACACACACACATATATATGTATATATACATACTCATATCCAAAATAGCTCTCCCTGTGGAAAAGCAAGGCAAAAATTTCAAAATAGTCTGACTTGAAGATTTGAGGTCACTCGTCTCCATCTCACTTGGCGGGTACAGAGAAAAGATCAATCTGATAGAAGTGCTATCAGACAACACTAGCCTTAAAAAATCCCTAACAGACAACTCTATTCGGAAGACAATCCCTGCCATAGTCTTCAGCTGTCTGCTAACTCCTGAGAGGCACAGGGCCAGGAGAGCACATGTTTATGGCTGTCATGAGATGCTTTAGACACCTCTGCAGTTATCAGGAATGACTAGCATACTTAGGAGAAAGGGTCTGCCTACTGAGGTTGCCTTACGGAAGCAGAATTCTTCTCTAGTCCTTATTACGGCACTTCATCTGCGCTGTAGGCTCAACCTTGTAGGAGCAGTTTGGGATACGTAACAGGTAATGTTGGAAGCACTCACAGGCTAAACTTAACCTATGTGGGTCCTATTGGAATCTGGAGTCTACTATAGGAAACTGAGGAGTTCCATGATTACCCAAGATCCCCCAAGAATCTTTATGTTAATGATGGGCTTATAGAGTCCTTGGTTTTTCTCTTGGTGCTCAACAGTCTGACCCACTTTTCCACCTATTTTGTTAAAGCTGGATTGGAGACAATTGAGCTTATTCAAATTGTTTGCAATGTAAATACATTTTACTAATCTAATGAATTTAAAAAACAAAACAAAAACAAAAGCAAAAAAAACAAAAAACAAAAAACCCTAAAATTTATTTTGTTAATTACTGAACTGGTTAAATAAGAACCCGAAATAGCCTACATTTTCATTAGCAAACCCACTCACGTGCAGACTGTATGCAATGAGAATCAGCTCTTAGAAATTTCTTGAGTAACAATCTTCTTTTGAAATTTCCAAAATGTCCCACTTTAGCCAAAAAAAAGAAAGAAAGAAAGAAAGAAAGAAAAAAACAGAAAAGAAAGAAAAAAAGACTTTTCTGTGTATTATGTATTAAGACCATGGAGGGCAGGCATGGATGGAAATGCAAAAGAGTGAAAAAAAATTAATAACCCTTTTTGAAATGCAGCAAAATTTTGTTTATTCAAGATCCAATTTGGCTATCTGCATTTTCCATTTTTTCTTCTATAATTCCTACATAATTACTTAATCTGAAAAACCAAAACTCAAGAACCAATAACGGTGGCTTAAAAAAGATCAATTAATCTGAATCAGATAAAGTTGATGTTAAGGAGACGATAAAAATCAAAAGATCTATTCTGTAAATGCACAGTTTTTATCTTTTTGGTGCTGGATGTCATTGTGCGCCACTCTTAATTACGCTCATAACCGTACAGCCGAGTCTTATTACACAATTCTTTACACTTAACATTTAAAAGAAATGTGGTTTTTTTGGATAAGTGTACTTTTGAATATAGTAGTTTCAATCTGACTTTAAATTAGTGTGATGTGCAGACTTTTGGGGACTAAAAAAAGGAATCCCATCTGGACAGAAAATGGTAGAGTAAAGTACTAGTAGCCAAGAAAATAAATTCTTTTTAAACCAAATTCCTTCTCTAGAGGTTCTTATACAGTCAAAATTACCAAGATGGACTGAATACCTGAATGGATGTTTTGGAATTTAAAATCTATTCCCAAGCTGACTTGTCTCAGTGTGTTCCAGATTTAAAAGGTGTGTCATCAGACGATACCTGCTATCTAAAATGATCTTTTCAGAAAATAAAATCATCAACTGTCCCTGGGAGGGTGATACATTAATTCATTAATGCACCGTATCATTCCACAGATGCTATAAAACTAGACTCACGAGAACATTGCTGAAGCTGAGCTGTCTAATGAAGCGACTGACAGACAAATTGACAAAACACACTGGTCTCAAAATCAAAATTTGCAAAAGACAAATTTCAAGTATTTGCAGTACCTGAATTTGCGGGGTTTATGTCACCTAAAATGGAACCACGACTTTAGTTAGGGAGTGGGTGGTGGATTCACAGCTTAAAATCTTGGAAGGCCAACAGAGGGGAGGTAAGAGCTTTGAGAAGGGTTTCATGAGTATTGATGTTGCTGATTTGCCTCAAAAAAAGAAAGAAAGAAAAGAAAAGAAAAAGAAAACATTCCCTGGCATCTTGTCTCTCCTGAGAGAAACTGTATATTGGTGGCAAGATGTCAAAGGTTAATGAGCTGCCTCGTGCAGCTTCCCTCCCAAGTCTCTTGAGATTATTACTCAGTGCATGGGGAGAAGGAGAAACAACCACAACAACAACAACACACAAGGAAAATCAGATTCGGAAACAGAAATCAGTAGAGAATTTACACACTGGCGTTTTCCATGACAACATCACTTTTAATCACTCTTTGGTGAAGAAACTTGGTGTGTGGATAGGGCAGCTGGATGATTTATTTTAGCTATTTTTAAACAATGCTATTATATGTAGATATGTGTCTAAAGAGATCTTTTGAGGTTTGGGGGAACATAAGGAAAGAACTCACACTGTTGTCTCGTATATGAGGGGGCTTCAAACAGCTCATGGGGGGAAATGGAATGAAGCGATCATGGCCATTTTTCCAGCACTTTTTAAAGCCCCCTCATATTTTGACAAAAGACAGTACGGACATACACGAGTGCATCTATCTTTGCCTTTTCTTGCGCTGTGTACTTATGGGGAAAAATTAACACTTGGCGTCTGTGAACTTGAGGGTCCTGGTGGCCAATCGCATAACAAAAAGGACACTTGGAGTCAATCAGTGCCACTGAGGGGGGACACTCTATCCTTATTCCTTTAAAAGCTAAGGTCAGTATGATGTGGGTGTAAACTGGTTGCGACCGTCCCTAACACTGGAATCCTTAGTCGCATTTATATTCACACTCGCAGAACACAGCTTTATTTGCTACAAGGTGGTTTTTAAAACACCATCACTTTAAAAAGTAATGGAACCCATCCAGATAATTCCTGTTTGCTTCCTGATGGGAAAACAACACTGGCATAGTTCTAGAGTTGTTTTTTTCACGTGTTTCTCTCTCTCTGTCTCTCTCAAAATGCCAGCTAACCATTACTGTTCATGGACATTGCATTTGTAGTTTCTCAACATGATGCAGGTGGCAAAGTCAATGCTTTTATAAGGCAATTCAACTTCACTGGCAACCAAGATCAACTCATTTCCAATCGAAAGGAAACACAGAAGGGGCTGGCCTAGCAATTACAGATATATATACATAGATATGTATACATACATATATATATATATATTGGGGGGGGGGCTTTAAGAAAGGGACTAAGACCTGAGTAAATCTGATGAACTTTTACATCACTGAGGCTGTTGTATCAAAAAAGACTGGCTTTCTTATCAAAAAGAAAAGGCAAGATTGGAAAACAGATACATTTTTCCCTCCCCATGTTTTCAGACAGTTTTGCTCAAGGTAGTTTTTTTTGTTTGTTTGTTTTTTGTTTTTCCTGTGACACTTTTCGTTGCATGGTTCGTCTTGGCAAACCTACATGAGATCAGAAATCACTTCCCAACCTTCCTGCGTAGAATGTATGAGAACAAGATACATTTCCCTCCCCTTTATTAGACCGTTTTTGCTCAAGGTGGTTTTTTTGCCTTTTTTTTTTTTTTTCTTTTTCTTTTTTGTGACACTCTGGGTTGCATGGTTCGTCTTTGGCAAACCTACATGAGACCAGAGATCACTTCCCAACCTTCCTGGGTGGAATGTATGAGAACAAACGTATCCGTACTCGTCTGCATTTAACTTACTAGGAATGGGTCTAAGGACGTCGGGGATGAGAATCTCCACGAGAGCCTGGTACATTCCATGATCACAGTTACACATCCATTTCAGGACAGACTCATGTTTGCACAGACTTATCAGCTTTGCTTTCGGTAGTCGACTTTCTATTTCACTCAGATTGCTGGTGTGAATAAATGTAGCAAATGAATAGATGGCAAATGAGGATAAAAAAAAAGAAAATGGACTTTAAAAAAAAAAAAAAAAGAGTTTTTAGTTCATCAAATATTAACTGAGGTTAGAACGATACCACCACGGCACTGGTGCCGTGCGCTCGGTTGGATCTATATCTATATATAAATATATATATAAATATCAGAGGAAACACTCCCAACAGAGGGACCTGTGCACATTAATACTCCGACGGGATGAAAGGCAGAGATGACACTCATTCCATGAGTATGAAGCAGCTGTACCGTGCTCCCCCCAAGCAATAAAGATGGGAGCTACGTACACACGCTGAAACCTCGGGGAGGGGGCGGGGGGATCGTGTCTAGGATGGCCAGAGCATCGGTCTACTCGCTCAACGTTATCTGGTTCACAACTGGTATACATATCTCTACTGTAAGTGCGTGGACATCGAGTGGGCCATGAGGATGGACCGGGGCAGCATGTGGGCTCTGACCTGGACTCCGTCATGGCAGTGCCGTCAGCTGGAGTGGAAGGAGAGTAACGCCAGAATGTTTGCCACAGTTTTTCTATCAGGCTGAACTGAAGATTCACAACAACGTCCAAGATTGCCTGGAAGACAAAAGCGCATCGGTGTGATCTTGTGGTGTGGTCACCTGGTGTGACCTTGTGGTTTTACTTGGGGGGGGGAGGGGGCTGTGTGGAGACAGCATCAGATGTCTCTGGTGACACAAACTGAACCCTGGTGACACATTGGTAAGGACGCTCAGCTGCTAACCCAAAGGAGATATGTGGATATATATATGTTGTTCAGTGCTGTCCAGTCAGTCCTGCATAGGGTTTCCAAGGAGTAGCTGGTGAGCTTGAACTGCCAACCTTGCAGTTCAAATGACTTTGCAGTCTGGCGCATTAACCCACAGTGCCATACCAGGACTCCACATACACATATTATATTATATATTATATATGTTAAGGAGTCCTGGTGTTGTTGTTAAGTGTCGTTGAGTCCGTTCTGACCCATAGTGATTCTGTATAGGGTTTCCGAGGAATGGCTGATGAGCTTGAACTGCCAACCTTGCATTTTATTTATATACACACAGGGTTAACAAAAGATTAAATGCACCGTGTCATTTCACAGATGCTGTAAAACTATACATATGGCAAAGGTCGCCTTTGGGTTTATGATTTAACATGGTGACTATTGAGTTAGATTTTGTCTGCAGAAGCTAAGAAAACATAGAAATTTGTTGAGTGGGCATGGGGGCACAAAGAAGAGAAACAAAACGAAGAACTTCTGAAAGATGTAAACAAGTAACTTGTGTTCCACTCTTGACAACCTCTCTTTTTTCACCTCTCTCTTCTCCTCCCTTTCCACGCTTTCTTCCTGTCATACTTTTTTCTTGTTCCTTTACCTACTGGGTCCTTCTGCCTCCTCTCCTTCACCTGACAATTCCTGCCATTCCTCAGCACTTGCACCCCAATGCCTACAGCCTGGCCATCCACAAGGACACACAGGAAAGGTGGGGAGGGGTGTGTGTGGTAGATGGAGTTTGGGCTGCCTTCTGGCTCAGGCTAAGACAGCTTCTCCGTCGCCTGGAGTCAGACTGATCCACAGAGGAGACACCCCTCTCAGTAACAAGGGCACTGTAAGCGCCTCTCTTTGGTTGTGATAAGTCTCCCAGACCGCCATCTTGTGTCCTCAGGTACCCTCTAGAGAGGTGCTTTAAGACGACCCTCTTTCTTAGCCCTGAGACCCCACCTCTTCTTCCCCGGGTTTTGAACTCCTAGAAACATTTTCCAGGAGCCCTGGTGGCACAGTGGTGGAAACGCTCAGCTGCTAACAGGTGAGGGACAGTGACTTGCAGGAGAAAGATGTGGCTGTCCACTTCCTTGAACATTTACAGCCTTGGAAACTCTATGGGGCAGCTCAACTCTGACCTTCAGGGTCGCTGTGAGCTGGCATCGATTTGACAGGAATGGAGGCACGAACTACTTTCTAGTTGCAGCAAGGGGGTGGTAGTTTTGATGATGCTAAAAATCTGCCACGTTCCCCATTAACGTTTGACGATCACATTTAATTTTACCTTCCATCCCAATTAGCTTCTAAATTAGCCTAAGGAGGGAAGTGGGCATAAAGCCAGAAAGGGGCTTGTGTTTGTGCAAAGAACACACGATTCTCTGATGAATTCTGAGCATCAAAGACAGAGGGAGCTCATATAATGTGTTTTGCTGTAGTCAACATGGAGGGTGGGAGGCAGCGAAGGCAGCCCTACAAGCACTGCACAGTGTGCCCAAGGGTGAGAGTCCACAGTGGGCAGCCCAGAGGACCATCTGAGATACAATGATTGTGAAGGTTTTAGACAAACAGTGCAAAGAACGCAACCCGTCCCTCTTAGTACCCTAGAGTCCTATCTGTGTGGACCTGACCCTGTGGTCAGTATAGAGCATTACGGGTGCCTTATGCAAAACCACCCTGAGACCAACTGTAAGAGTCCACAAAATCTACTTGGGGACACCTTCTGGGAACTAAGAGAAAAGGAGTCCTGATGTGCTACTGTAGGATAAGCCAAGGTCAGTGGTTCAAACTCAGCAGTCACTCCTCAGAAACTTTATACAGGGTCACTGTGAGCCACCCCAGGGGAAATGGTACCCATCCCTGGAAGGTGAACGTGGAAAGAAAGGGATACGGAATGCACTCCTCAGTCTTGAATGTCAGTCACAATTGAAATGCAAACAATTGCCCTGAAAAGAAAGGGCTCATTGCCCACTGCTGTGGAGTCCACTTTGATGTGCGGGGACTTGTATAGACTGAACAGAGTGGAACTGTATCACAGACTTTCTGAGACTGCAGATCTTTGAGGGAACAGACTGCCTTATCTTTCTCCCATGGAGCGATTGGTGGGCTTGAACTTCTAGCCTTGTGGTTAGTAACAAAATGCACAGCTCACTGTACCAAAAATGGGCTTATAATAAAAAAAATTAAAAATTAAAAAACAAAACATCCCACTGCCATCAAGTCTGTTCTGACTCTCAGCAACCAGACACAGGATTTCCCAGACTGTCAATCTTTACGGGAGCCGACAGCTTCTTCTTTCTCCTGCAGAGCCACTGGTGGGTTTGAACCGCCGACCTCATAGCTAGCAGTCTAGTGCCTGCCCCACAGCATCACCAGGGTTCCTTTATAGATGTCCTTTATTCCAGGCAACAAGCCCAAAACCTTCTCACTGGGCAAATGCCTACAGTTGCTTTCTTGACTGTAGGGGAGGCATGTTTCAGGAGAAGCCTCTCAAAGTGTGAGGCACTAGTCACCTGGCACCTCAGAGCCCCGTCCGGGTGACTGCTGCTAGCAAACTGTACGTGTCAAAAGGAAGATCCGCATTCCCAGCCACTAGGGCAGAAACCCGTACTTGTTCTTTAGCAGAAGACAGATAATGATTCTTATAAAATACATTTGAGAAACAAACTGAAAATCCCAAGTAAAAGCCCACCTACTACACTATACATATATGTGTATAGAAAGGCATGCCCAAGAAAATACAAGCACATGTTTAGCATATATATATATGCCTTAAACATGTCCAAAACCTCAAGGGTCTTAGGAACACAGTCTCATAGGACAACTCGGTCAACTGACAGAGGATATTCCATGAAGATAATGGTCCACATCTTAGTTTGGTGAGCAGCATTATTGGTCTCTATGTGGGTAGAGGAGTCCTGGTGTGGCACTGTGGGTTATGCGCTGGACTGCACAGTCACTTTGAACCAGAATGTCAGCAGTTCAAGCTCACAAACAGGGTTGTTATGGGTTGGAACCGACTCGATGGCACTTAACAACAACAACAACATGGACAGCAAAACCAAAGGATGGCAATCAAAAGATCAAAGAAGAGACCAGTCCATTGGACGAACTGCCCACCTGAATTACAACTTTTTCAAACCTGAGACCAGAGCTAGGTGTGTCTGGCTACCAGTACCAACCATTCTGACCAGGGACACAAAAGGAGGTCCTGGATAGAATGAAGACAAATGTGCAAAACAGATCAAATTCCTTAGAAAGGGCTGACTGATCTGACTGAAAGGGATTCGAGGAGCCCCTGAGACTCTCACCGTAAGATAATGTCTGAATATGACGCTGGGCTACCCTTCAGCCAAATACTAGATAGACTTATGACATCAACTGTCTCACAGTGAGTAATGTGCTCCCTCCATGCCCGAGGTGAGACCAAACAGCATTCACCTCGGAGCAGAGAGGAGAAGGGAAGGGAACCTAGAGCAGTGGAAACAGAGCAAACAGAATGGAACGAATGAGAATGCTGCACCTTTGTGAACGCTGTAACCAACGTCACAGAATGACTGGCCTAGCAATTGTTAAAGGGGAACCGAATTTGCTGTGTACATTTTCACCTAAAACCCAATAAAATATTATTTTTCAAAACTGTATAGGGTTCCTACCAGAATCCTGTGAAATGCAGGTGAAAATGCAAATTGGTGTGGCCATGGTGTAAAACTGTTTGGCGATTGTTCAAAAGTGACCCCGCGAATGGCCATAGGATCCAGCAGTCCTATTCCTAGGTGCACATTCAAGAGCGATGACAGCAGGGTCTTAGACAGATACCTGAACATCAATGGCCACTGCAGCATGGTTCACAGTGGCCAAAAGGTGGAGTCAACCCAAGTGGAAATCAACAGATGAATGGATAGACAAAGAAAATGTAGCATGTGCTTAAAATGGACCATTATTCAGCCAGAAAGAGAAACAAAATTCTAATATATACTACAACAGATGAACCTTGAAAGCGCTGGGCAAATTAAACAAGTTAGATTCAAAAGGACAAGCATTCCATGACCCCACATATATAAAGTATCGAGAATAGGCAAATGCATACAGACCAGAGTTTGTTGGTGGTTACCAGGGGTGAGGGCACGAGTAGATGGGAGTTATTGCTGAAGGGGAACTGAGTTTCTGTTTGTTGTTGTTAAGTGCTGTCGAGTCAGTTCTGACTCTTAGCAATCCAGTATAGGGCTCCCGTGGAATGGCTGGTGGATTTGAACCGTCGACTTTACAGTTAGCAGTCCAGTGCTTATTCTATAGCTTATCCTCTATCAGGGGAATGTAGCACTTCTGGAAATGGATTATGGTAAAAATGGTTAATGCCAGTGAATTACAAGCTACAATACGGTTACAAAAGCCAATCTTCTGGTATATGAGGGGGCTAGTGTAGTGGTTACGAATCGGGCCGCGAACCTTAAGGTCAGCGGTTCGAAACTACCAGCCGCTCCGTGGGAGAAAGATGAGGCTTTCTACTCCCGTAAGGATTTACACCCTCGGAAACCCTGTACAGGGTCGCTATGGGTTGG